ATACAAAACGGATTTATTTGCGGTTTGTTTTTGAAGGGGGTAATGTGGGACGTGTTTTAAAGAGTGTTGGTCTGTCCTGCCGTCACAGTGGTCACCTGCAGTGCCATGCCTTACTTTATCCCTCCATCAGCACATTCTCTCATCCCACTGATCTTGGCTTATGTTCAATCCTTGCTTATAGTTCAAATGCCAACAGCTCTGAGATGAAGTCAACAACAGCAACACAGGAGACACCAATGCTTGCAGTGACCATTTTATGCAGGGCAAGGTGAAAAAATTCAAAAGACTTCACAAAGAAATTAAAACATTCATGCAACTTTGAAACTAGCATTGTGGCATAATTGAAGACTCTTGTTCAGAGTCTGATGTGAATGTGTGTCCTCGGGGCAGAGCAATTCGGGTCGTGTCTAAAAGAAACTGGCCTCAAAGCAGATTGGGCGTGTTGCACAGACAGAGCAGACGGATCACCTGAGCGGAGATGTTACAGATAGCGGAGTTGCGCGTGCGTTCTACTAGCTACATTCTTTTGGGTAGCAGTACAATAAAATAATAACAATAAATTAGTTGCGCGTGCGATCTAGCTACATTATTTTGGGTAGCAGTACAATAAAACAACAACAACAATAAATTATGAACATGGCATCGCATCATATTCTAATTTTGAAAAGGTTTCATTAAGCCACGCGACATTTCCCTAACATTAAATAATTTGATAATTTCTAAGAGCAGCATATATAAACTATAGTTTCAAGCGCGTGCACTGGCTGATTGTGTAGAACAGGTACAGGTGCGCACTTGCTCGCTCAGGGGAGAACTGAACTGTAGCTGAATATTAAATGTTCGCTCACCTGTTTTCTCTCAGGCACCGTTTGTTGAGATGACCTGCTTTCTCCAAATCTCCCGCGTTTTTACAGAGAGTGACACGGATGCGACAAATGTACCCGAAAAGCTCTGGAGTTTGTGGCACTTTCCTGTTTGCTCATCGGTGTCCAGCTCTCCGATTTCCTCTTTCTTCTCTCTGCAAACTCCCTCTGACTCTTAAATCAGCTGTGTGGGCGTGTCGATATAACGTCGACAAACCCTATGCCCCGCCCATTTATATGATTAAGCGCTTCTTTGGACGTGTCAATCAAAAGATGCGTTTTCATTGATTGGTTATTTCTTTATAATTGTGCTAAAACAGTGATCTTAGGTTAGGCTGTTAGGTCTAGGATTTAATTTAATTTAATTTAATTTAATTTAATTTAATTTAATGTTTTTGTTTTGTTTTATACTGGAAAGGGTACTGCATACATTTTGAATTTAGAAAAAAATTAAATCTGATTTTACTTTATTAAATATACATTAAATATGTAAATAAAAAATATACAAGAAATATGTACAAGAAAATGTAATAGAATTCGTGAAAATATGGGATTCATAATAGATAATCCTAGAAATAAACAAAGTTTTAGTACTTTGAATATGCTTTTTGCGGTATGCTTTTTGACCAATTTGATCTCAAACCTCCCAATTTCCACAAATTTCCAGTTAGCTTGGCTAAAACTGCAATGAAAACATCATAAATTGACTTGACACGTTTTATTACTTAAATTGCTTATATAATTACACACAAAAAATCATAATATCCCTTGTAGTTCAGAGGGAGTTTCTAGAACATTAGCCTAAATGCTTCATAGATGCTGGAGGAAGCTGGAGTTTAGAAAGGCTGCTGGTGGAGGTTGTTAGTGAAGGAATGCAGAGCTTTGTCTGTACTTGCATTCCTGCAGTGATTTTCCTCAGTATATTTAAACATACTGTGGAGGTAAAGACTGAGAGAGAGAGAGAGAGAGAGAGAGAGCAGGAGACTAAAGTGAACCTATACTGCTATAAGTCACCCTTAGGATATCATAAAACAATAAACAGTGGTCAGGTGATAACTATGATAAGCTGGTCTGTAAACTACTGACACATGATCTTCATGGGCGATTATAGATGTTGCATTTTTCTCTGTGTGTCAATCAGGGGTTGCCAGATATATGAATTGATTATTGTAAATGATGTTGCTGTTATTGGCAACAAAGTAAACAGGCCTCCTTTATAGAAAAATCAAAAAGTCAAAGTTCAAGTAAGGTCACAAAGAGGGTCAGACAGATTCCTCCAGGTAATCCTATATGTGAAATTGACTTGTGGCAGTTGACTTGTGGAAATTAACAAAACGGAGGCTCACAGCAAGACAACTTGTTTGGGAGACCTTTATCACACACTGACAAGTATAAGTTTGAGTCTACCTGGCCTCAGGTGGGATGATTCTTCCTTATATGGTATGAAGCAAGCAGAGAGTGAAAGGATGGGCTGTAGTTTAAACAACAGTGGTTTTGGATTACCCATAACCCCACCGGCCCTCCCCATTCTCAACTTTCCTTTTTCTTCCTCTTCATCTGAAATACTCAGAGGCATGAAAGATGAAGAGATAAATTGTCAAGAGAAGGCTTGTCACTACATGACAACACGCCAGGTAAGCAGACAGCAAATGAGATTTCTAAACCCTGCTTGTGTTTGCACATTGTTCTGCTTCAAATACACTATGGTATCTGTAATCTTATCCATAGTATGAATGCCAAACGTAACGTAGGGTACGTTATTTGATATGATAATGAAATGAAAAAGGTGGCTGGTCTCTAAACTATGCCATTATGTCAGCTACTTCTCAGCCTGATGCAGTTTCCTGTCATTTATAGGCCCAGAGGTAGAAACAGACAACTGAGATGACATAACACATAACAGCAGTGCTCTGCAATGTCTGCTGTACTGCACCTAAAACACTTTTAAAAGATTATTTTCTTTTTAAAAGAAATTACTTTTATTCAGCAAGGATGCATCAAAATGATCAAAACATTACTGTTTCCTCTGATCGTTCTACTTATCAAAGAATCCTGTATCACAGTTTCCACACAAATATTAAGCAGCACAACTTTTTCAACACTGATAATAAAAAATATTTCTTGAGCAGCAAATCACTATATTAGAATGATTTCTGAAGGATCGTGTGACACTGAAGACTGGAGTAATGATAATGAAAATTCAGCTTTACCACGACAGGAATAAATTACAATAAATTATTTAAAATATGTTAAAATAGAAAACAGTTCTTTTAAACTGTAATGATATTTTACAATATTACTTTTTTTTGCTTTAGTACTGATTAAATAAATGCAGCCTTGGTGAACATGAGACTTCTTTCAAAAACATAAAAAAAAATTAAGATTACATGCTTTTTAACGGGTAGTGTATATATACTGTTTTAATAAGGTTTTGAATTTGTAAGATCTTTATGCACAATCACATGACAGAACCAGAGGCCTCAGTACTTGTGTTTATTAAAGGCACAATATGTAATTTTCGCCGCTAGAGGGCGCGTATTCAAAATAAACAAAGAGACACAGGCGTAGTTTGATGACGCTGTGACTGAGTGTGGAATCATGGGAGTTGTGGTCTTCATCCCCACAGCCGATGCAATCCGACGGGACTCGGGCAGAAATCATGTTCATGGATGAGCTAATGATTTATTAATGTAGTAGAATGAAGCAGGGTGAGGCTGAAAGCCGTCGAAGCGAAACGAGGCCGTTGAACAAGTGTGACACACGGCTCGAAAGCAGCGGAGCTTTTATTATGCCACAGTCGACCGCTTCCGCTCTTTCCGGTCGTGCGTATGTGGGGGAAAAAAGCAGCGCTGTGAGGGCGATCTGCAATATAAAAAATGAAGCCATTTCCTTTTAATTAAATGTTTAATTAACAATAAGCTGTTCTGCAAGAATCATCTATCTTCATATTGAACTTTTTTCTTTCCTTTTTTTTTTTTTTACAAAATGTAAGGAGGGCTATACCTGAACAGTCACATTCAAGCACCATGTTACATACAGAGGCTTTATCTCACTTCAGTGGATGTATGTAGAAAAATGCTGGCTTACAAAATAGCCAATAACATCAATAGAAAAAAAATGTCTGACAACAAGCTTTACAGAATATTTCCACTGGTTCAGTTTCACAATCTCAAAAAAAAAAAAAAAAAAAAAAATCACAAATGAATCTTCCACATAAGTCTCTTGAACACATTCAGTAAATTCTACAGAATGTAGTTGTTTAATGAAAACACAGTAATTTGTATGTAAAATGCCAAAAAATGTGAAAAAGAGTTATTTACAAAAATTATATAATCTTATGGTGAGACACAGACAGTTGGCAGATGTCTCCCATTAACTTTAGGATGAAACCTGAGGTAATTCCTTAGTCTCTGTATTTTTGGTTCTGGATTATATCACCAAATTGACTTAAAGGCAGAGTAAGTGATTTCTGGTAGCCAATGTTGATATTTGAAATCACCAAAACAAACACGCCCCTACCCCAAAAGGGTCTTGCCCCTATTTTGATAGCTCCGCCCCACATATACGTACGCAACCCAGGCAACGATTAGTTCTGTGAAACAAAGCAAAACCAATGTTACACCGTGTCTACATCGGACGTGAGCGGCGCGGCGCAACAAATCCCCGACAGAAAACTGCTGCCGGGTTCTATTTATGACGTGCTGACACAAATTTCAAATGGTTTTCAACGGTCGTTTGATCGCGTCCGGTGTAGGCAGACTTTAGCTGTTGTAGACACTGTGTTACTCACCTATTGAGAAGAAACAAAGCAACCTCGGCGTCCTATCGCAGGCCTCTCCGCTCCTTGAGTTCTCTCCAGCACTGGAAAGCTGATCCAATATTTTACACGGGTCCTACTTCTTGCCTTGTCGTTCCGCAGACGTTTTCCTCTTTTGTTTTTTTATCCGCCATCTCTATCTTTCTGTCGCTCGGCTCGGCTAATGTCCGTCCCATGCACTGAAAGCTCTCTCCTCCACATCACGAGTAGACACGCCCCTTATTGTTGATTGGCTACAAGTTTGTTTTGCTATTCGGCCCGAATCAGTTTTCTAAAGTGTTTTTGAAAAATCACATACCCTGCCTTTAACCTGCCAATAATTCTAGGAAAATTCCAAGGGAAAACATTCACATTTTACACAATGTAAGATATAAAACATTTGCTACATCCTGTACATATTTGTCTTCTTTACATCCCACCTAACAGGTGCGAAGATTTTCTTAAATATATTATAGTCTTGAAAACTGTCTCTGTACAGCCATAGTTTTGATTCTCTATAACCCTATTTCTGAATAATATTTTGCTCCATGGATACTTAACTCAAATACTTAGCCATAAAAATAGTGCTAATAATCTTTTTCAAATATGCTTACTAGTAGTTTGCTACATCCTACCAATCTATATTTCCAAAAATAGAATTGATTTTCTTTCGTTCACTCTTAAATGTCAGTAGATGTTAATTTAAATCTTAAATTTCACAGTTGATATTCAGTTTCTGTATGGCTGTTAGATGAGAAAATCCTTTTATAATGTACACAGAATGTTTATATGTCAATGTCTGGCATTCATAATGGAAATGCACTGCAAATTTACAAAGATGGAAGATTATTATCAGTTGGAACACTTTCCTTTAATAAAAATAAAATAAAAAATACCCACCCAACAGATGAGAGACAGATAATTCAGACAAATATGAAACGCAGTCATTACAAAATAATCCCAATTCCAAATGAGTGGCTATTGCTGTCATTGTCTCTGTCAGCCAGTAGGGGGCAGTAGAGGTGAGTACGGGGAGCCTCTAGACCTGAGTGGAGTATGATCTTGTGAGAGAGGGTCTAGGGCGAGCGCAGGTAGAATATTCTGAAGGCATGTCTAGACTGCGCTGGAGATGCAGCGACGTGAGTGGATGAGGACATCGGGAGGGGTGGGGGCCAGGTATGGCTGATGGTCATGTGATGCCTGTGTACAAAACCCCTGGAACCTGCCGAGGATAGAAAACAAAGCATTTCTGAAAGAGTGCAGAAGGGAGAGAACAGGGTCAAGGTGACATTTCACTGGATGCAATCAGGGTCAGAAATTAATGTGGGTTGGGGCAAAAATGCCACCAAAATGACCCAAAATGCTTCCCAAATTCAAGATAAAAGTGTCAAAAAATGCCCCTATTTTATGCCCCTACATTTACAATATTTTTGTCATCATATTGCAGCTCTACCCTGTAACAGTTCCTGTTTTTAATTTTATAATTGACATTTTTTGCAGGCTATTTATATTATGCAGTTGTTGTGTAAATGCATGTATGCCACCTTTGAGCAGCATTAAACAATCTGTAAATAAACACAAATGCCATGTCAGATGCAGCTTCTGTTCCACCTCTGCAGTATAAATATGGCTTTTGTTGATGTTGATAAAATTTTATTATCTATAACAGGGGTTTTCAACCTTTTAGGACATGCGCCCCCCCTACGTTCTTCTAATTTCATTCACCATAGTGTCGCATTCGGTGTCGATTGATTACAATGGGTTCTGTGTCTGGTGTAGACAGGGTGTTAGTTATACTGAAACATTAAAAATATAAACAGCTACCCAAATTTAGTGTGACGGCTGAGCCTGTTTTTCAGTCGGTTTAACCATTTTACCATCTCTGGTATTCTTTGTTTTTTGTTTTGTTTTTTTCTCAAACTCAGCTTTGCCAAATCTGCAGTAAATGTAACCAATGAAGATTTCGCTTGACTAGCTGGGAGACTAGTCAAATTGCCCCCTCTAGTGGATTTTGCCCGCAAAATCTTTATTCATAGCTGTTTTACTGGAGTGTATGTTTCTGAATAAACAGCTGCTTGGCCCCTTAATGGGTGCTGGACCCACAGGTTGAAACCTCCTGGTCTATAGTATTGTGACTGATTGAAGCAACTGGTTAAATTTAAGTATTTGAAATAAACACATTTAATAAGGTCATTACAAAAAAAATGCCTTTACAAAGTAAAAATATGACCTTGGAAATCAGTCCCATGCAAATGCAATGCTTGTTTAGAATCTGGTAAATACAAGGAGGCTATGATATTTTTTGAAGCAGCCTTTAAATCTGAAGCACACCTATGATGCCTTAAAATGCTGTTTAGGTAGGCTGCTAACTAGTTTTTGGAACCGAGCTAATGAGGAAAAAAAACAATGCACCATACTCCTCTTCAGAGCCAATAATGTCAGTATTACCACATCCTGGATATATGATCCCATTATTCATGGCTATTTAAAAACCCCAAGTATGTGGGCAGCAGACCTCATTCAGCTGAAGAATAGGTACATTATTATACAGTACAGTTAGCTGTTAGCTCTTGTTTAAATTTCCCACGCCTTCCTGGTGTCCAATGTACCCACCCGTCACCCTTACCTGAGGGCCACTTAACTTTTCGAGTGGACTCTCTACGCAGGGCATGGCCACCATGGGCATGTTGAGCGAGGGCTCCGGGCGTGGAGGGTGCACAGGGGGCGGTAAGGGTGGCAGCTGAGGCTGGGTCTGCTGGAAGTTATTGATCACACATGTGACCTGGAGGTGAACCAAGAGCAGGGGTTAATAATGACACCAAAAACGTGCAAAGCACTTACAGTACGACAACGCAGGATCTGCCTCTTGTGGATTAAGGCTTTATACCCAGAGCATGTTCAGCCTTGGCATGGTTGTGATTGGACTTGATTTAAGAGGATGAAGGATGGAATCTAAAGCTAGTGGATTAGCTGCAGATTCACTAAACATCCGAGTACTAGTATTAGCTGTTAAACAGGTATGTGCTCCGAGTAATGACCTGTTTTACCCTCTGACATGGCGTGAGACTTTGGCCGTGTCCCAATTCACACTCTATCCATCCATCCTAGATAGTATATGCAAGGATGTGTGCAATCCAGGTGGCAGTCTGGCTGGTTCATTATTTTGGGGTGGGTTTTCTGTCATTCTTTTTGGACTAGCAATGTTCACAAAACCTTGTTCAAACAAAGTGGATGAGTTCGTGATGGTTTTCTTTGAACTTTTCAACTTTAATTGTAGAAAAATGTATTTAGCTAGATGCTAATACTTGCCAAAGCCAGCAAAGGCTTCATGATGCAACTTTATGATGCAGATTCCAGCTATTCGGTGATGTAGTACATGCAATGCAATGTATTATTACACTATTGTTCAAAACATTGGGGTCAGTAAGATTTTTTAAAATGTTTTTGAAGAAGCCTCCTAAGCTCAGCGAGGCTGCATTTATTTGTCATGAAATATTATAACAATTTAAAATAAAAAAATTTTCATACATTTTAAAATGTAATTTATTTCTGTGATGCAAAGCTGAATTTTCAGCATCATTACTCCAGTCTTCCGTGTCACATGATCCTTCAGAAATCATTCTAATATGCTGATTTGCTGCCCCAGAATTATATATATATATTTTTTATTATTTCTTATTATCAGTTATCAATGATGAAAACAGTTGTGCTGCTAAATATTTTTGTAGAAATCATAATATATTTTATTCAGGGTTCATTGCTGAATAGAAAGCTCAAAAGAACAGCACTTATTTGAAATAGAAATCTTTTGTAACACAATAAATGTCCTTACTGTCCCTTTTGATCAATTTGATGCGTCCTTGCTGAATAAAAGAGTTCATTTCTTCAAACTTTTGAATGGTAGTGTATATTCCCAGATGGGCATGCATTGAACTGCCTGGCTATGGTTCGTTTATTGGTCTCCAAGGCTGGCAGATTCTCACCAGAAAAGCGGCGATGGCTCCTCCGGTGAGATATCCAGCTAGAACATCAGACCAGTGGTTGCGGTACTCAGCTACACGCATGATGCCCACCAGAACAGCCAATGAGAGGAAAGTCAGACAGAGAGTGGGTTTGGTCAGCCTTGTGCCTTTAGTCCTCCATACCAGAGTTATATACATCTGCAGAAAACACACATTGCTATGCATTAATGCACATCTATCATGTCTATCTGCTAAGCAATACAACACCTCAAACATCCCAAATGTATTGTAGATTTATTCATGCATCATGCTCTCATCTAATCATTTGCCAACTAAACTTGAAGTTATTTTTGCCCATTCTACCCTTTTATTTTTATTTGCCATGTGTTGTTACTTCAAAACACTACCAGAAGGCCAGCAGCATCTCTTCTCTTCACTGTTGCAGAGGAAGCCGGAGTTTATTGTGAGCTGCTCAATGGAGCTTTTAGCTATTTCTCAGATCAGAGACAATGCTCTTCTCATCTTGTTGCCTGGGCATCCACTTCTCTCTGCGATGGTTAGATCCAGTAGTTTATGAAATAGACTTCATACCTCAAAAGAACAACACTAATGGGACTAATAGGTTTCTAGAGGAACGTGTTTGTTTTTGGCCTTTTTTAAAATTGAATTTTGACGTGAAACTTGAAAGTTTACAAAAACTTACAAGATATACAAATGCAGGGGTGTCTTTAGAGTTTTGGGGGCCCCCTCGGTAGAATTCACGCAATTGTGTGGTGCCTAAACACGCTACTATACTTCAGCAAGTGCAAAAGACACTGCACTGCCGTCTCCATACTTCATTAAACAGCACAATCATTTTCAAGTGTGCTAATAATAGGAGAAGGATGTTGAGTACTAAATCAACACATTATGATAATTTCTTAAGGATTATATAACACAAACTTCTTAGTAATGGCTTGTGAAAAATTTAAGGGGGTCTGAATACTTTCCGTACCCACTGTATGTAATGGCTAATCACAGCCAAAAATGCATAAATAAATACATAAGTTATTTCAAACATTAACAATAATTTACAATATTACCTTGTTTCCCTGTATATTAATGAAATGCTAAATTGGGGAATTGAATTATGAATTTCTTTCAAAAACAAAAATGTCTTAAGAAATGATATTGTGTAGAAGATAGACGCACAAAGACGAAGGTAATCCAATATATAATTGATTAATAATCCAAAATGAAGATCCATTCAAAACACAGGGAAACACAAGCAGCATACACAAATAATATCCGGCGTTGAATGTACTGAGGAGGGAGACTCAATACACAACAAACGTAATCAAGGGAATACAGAGCAGGCGAGGAGCTAATTAACTACTACAGGAGACAAATGAGGGAATGAACCGAAAGGCAATAGAACTAAACAGGCAGGATGACCAAACTCAATGCAAACAAAGAACAAAAAGATCCATAACTGTCACAGATATCTTATCATTTACTATATTAAAATTTCATTGTATTTTGGAATTATCACTTTTTTTCAGAAACATAAAAATGTCTTAAGAAATGATATTGTAAACTTTTAAAGTTTAATTAATTTTAAGTTATTTTAAACTATTTTTTATTGTATTTGTATTCAATAAATGCTACACTTGTGAATAGAATTATGAATTTCTTTCAAAAACATAAAGTAACAAGAAACAATATTGTAATTTGGATTTTGCCATCACAGCAAAAAATTTAATTTTAAAAATATCTAAAAATATGAAATCTGTTTTAACATTAGTAAGTATAATAAAAAACATGTAATATACACTCTAAAAAATGCTGGGTTGTTTCAACCCAACTTTAGGTCAAATATGGACTAACCCAACTTTGGGTCAAATATGGACTAACCCAACTTTTGGGTTAAAATTTTAACCCAAAAGTTGGGTTAGTCCATATTTGACCCAAAGTTGGGTTGAAACAACCCAGCATTTTTTAGAGTGTAGTACATATTGTAAAAATATATAAAAATTGTATTGTATTTTGGTTAATTAAATGCTAAACTGGGGATCAGAATCCAGCTATGTTAGATGATATTTTCAGCTGGGTCATGACCAAATATTCAGAATTATCATTGTCAGCTCTGTCATCTCTTCAGTCTGTTAAAACATCAGCCTTACTGAAGTACAGGATGACTGTGATTTATTTGTATGCTGTGTCATGTTTGATTTCTTGTCCTGGATGTACTCACCACTGTATAGACAGCTGAGTACATACTCAGCGCTGCGTCCTTGGAGGGGAAAGATTTGCGGGCGGAGGTGATGAGGTAAGGGTTTCCGGTGCACGCTCGCTGCTCTGTGATGTACTGCAGCGGTGAATGGCAGCCCAGTGCTGTGTAGTTTGGGCGGCATGTAGACAAGAAATGAGGTGTCTGGTTTCCTGTCACTACCTGCCCTGCATTGGCAAAGATGGTGGTGGTAAAGAGGCCAAAGGAATACACACCTGAGAACAAGAGGAAGAAATCATTTCATCAACCACTTGATAATTATAAGAGGATTTTCACATACTTTTGGCCATTTAAAGTAGCTTGATATATACTATTCTACAGTTTGGGGGACAGTACGAATGTTTTTTAAGAAATTAATCATATTCATCAAGGATGCCTTAAAATGATCAAAAGTGTCATTAAAGACATTACAAAAGATTTATATTTCAAAGAAATGCTTTTAGCAAAGAATCCTGGAAAAATTATCATGGTTTTCACAAAAATATTAAGCAGCAAAAATATTTTCAACATTTACTCACACTCAGGCCATTCAAAATGTAGATGAGTTTGTTTCTTCTTCAGAACAGATTTGGAGAAATTTAGCATTACAAGAGCTGCTCAATAAACGGTACTCTGTGGTGAATGGGTGCCGTCAGAATGAGAGTCCAAACGGCTGATAAAAACATCACAATCCGTCAGACTCCAGTCCAATAATTAATATCTTGTGAAGCAAAAATTTGCAAGTTTGTAAGAAACAAATCCATCATTAAGATGTTTTTAATTTCAAACTGTTGCTTCTGGCTGAAATACGAATACTCTATCCATAATATTGCTTTCTCTAGTGAAAAAGTCATCTTGTCTGAATCAGGAGAGAAACATACACAGATCAAGCACCAGTTACAATCGAAAACAGTTGAAAACATTTCTAAACAAATAGTGGAGTGGTCAGTGGATTTTGATGTGAGAGGACAACAGAAGATGGACTTTTTCACTGGAGGAAGTGTTATTATAGAGCATTTTGGCCAGCTTAAACTCCCTTAATGGTGGATTTGTTTTTTACGAAGACGCAGCTTTTTGCTTCACAAGACATTAACTGATGGACTGGAGTCATGTGGATTACTTGTGGATTATTGTGGTGTTTTTATCAGCTGTTTGAACCCTTATTCTGACGGCACCCATTCACTGCAGAGCATCCATTAGTGAGGAAGTGATGCAATGCAAAATTTCTCCAAATCTGTTCTGATGAAGGAACACATTCATCTACATCTTAGATGGTTGAGGGTTAATAAATGTTCGGCAATTACTGGTTGAACTACTCCTTTAAAATAGAAAACAGTTATTTGAATGAATGCAGCCTTTGCAGCTTTTAAACAGTAGTGTAAGGTGCTTGCACACAAACACACAGACCCAAAAATTGTAATGTAGCAGGAAAAGTTTGATGCTTTGTGTCTGAAAGATTAACGATTTGCATAAGAATAATAATAAAAAAAAAAACTTGAAGCATTGCTTACCAAGGAAGCGGACTATGCGTCTCAGCAGCGGGTTGAAATAGCAGCAGTCAGCCGTAACAATTGTCTTCTCCTGCGTGGCCTCAGGTTTAGTTAAGAAGGATGCAAGCTCCCCCAGCAGAATCTGCAGCAGACAGACGCAGGAAGGAAATTTCTCAGGTGCACATAGCTTACAGAGAACAGCGCTTAGAGGGGAACCATTTTCTCTCATTTTCAATCCCATACATGTATAAACGCTAAATGCACCAGCACAGCTGAGACAGGATATATATATATATATATATATATATATGTATGTTCAGTATGCCCTAATGGGATTGCATTCATAAAACATGAATCACAACATGAAGGTCTTCATATAACATTTTTTCTTTTTTTTTTCTTTTCTGCAAGTTGATTACACCATCTGAAGGCACATGACTTTGAGTTGGTGGAGAAACATTTTTCTTCATTATAATATCTGGACAGTATCACTTTTCCAAAAACAGAAAATTGAGTTTTAATTCAGAAATTAAAAACATGCTCATCATATATTCAGTGTTTTCAAGTCATTGTATAAATAAATTGCATTTTTAGCAATTAAACTCAATGAGAAACAAATGATATCAATACCAAGAAATGAAGAATAAACTCCAGAGCAGATAACTGTAATTTTCACCTCATTTCTGCTGGACAAGCAGAAAATACAGTACTTTTGACACAATTTTTTATGGAGTTCAGTGTCTGAGTTGGTTCCACCTGTGAAAAGGTTTGTGTGCTATCTCAAACAGCAGAAGTCTGGCACTGAATATCACTGAGACGCCCTTTTAAGAGTTACTTAACCAAGTCTATTAAACTATTTAACATCCACAGACATAAAGATCCAGGTCAATGTGTGGTAAAAGCAGTGCATGTTATTATGCATCGTTGCCTGTGCTAAAATATGCCAAATTTTTCTGAGTTCACAAATGCCACTCTAATCCTCTCACTAAGGGAAAATGGAAATTATTTAGGGACATAAAAGCCTGAATTTCTGAGTAACCTTCAAATGTTTAGTGATGCCCCATTAATGATATTTTGTGGGGCATATTGTGGCGTTTTGAGGGCTCTTGTCTTGTGGTATAACAAAAAAGGTGAAAATAGACAGACAGAGGAAGAGAAAGAGAGAAAAAAAAGACAGAATGAATATTTCACTAGAAAACTCTTGACATATCCGAAGTGCTCTGAAGCCGCAATGTTGAAGCAGCAGTGATACTGTCAGCCATGATGCTTTCAAATACTTAACACATCACAATTACAACTCACCTGCTCTGAAGAGTTTCAAAACTCTGGAAAAACTGATACACACACACACACACACAGGTTTGTTTTTGTGAAAAGTGGGGACATCCCATAGGCGTAATGGTTTTTCTAC